AAGCCCCCCCCTTCAGCAAAAAAAAACAACTATGCTTTTTTATATTGTTTTCCGTTGTGTTGACGGAAGAAACTCAATTAGCCCCCCCCCCAATTTTGGCTGGATCCGCCCTTGTTTAGTTCATATCTGACGTAGATATGATTCGAAAATAGACCTGAAACATTCCACAGAACATTGCCTAGCATCCTCTGGCAAGTAGAAAAAGGATACATTTGGATTTCTTTGCTTTCCGGCATTCTAATCCGCCATATTGAAATCATTTTCAGCAGAACATTCGGGAAAATTATCCAGCCATCTTAATGCGTGAAGTATTGTAAACGTTCTGAGCATTGAACAGATTCCTAATTTGACCAATCAGCATCGAGGAAAAAATGGCTGTTACCCGAGCCTCCGCCGACGGGTAGGAACGAAACCGAGGAGCCATGGGTGAGAGAATAGTGTTTCAGCTTTCATCGCTCGCTGTGTCCGTTTGGACCTAGAATATTAAGATCGGGGCTGTTTTTACACAAATCTTCCTTTAATCCTCGTTATCTTTCATAATTACAACGTAGAATTTTCTTATTAACGGTAGATTTCATAATTTTGTAAAACATCGTAGTCCCCTACGTCTTTTCTACGTCTTCATTCAGGGCAGCACCATCTTGTCTCCCTCCCCTGGGGCATGGTGGGATTATTACACACAGGAATCCCGGTCGCGCGAAACAAAGGGTTCCCAATTCCCAAAACCAGATTCCTGAACACCGGAAGGGTGGGGGTCGCAGCGACCGCATTTCTAACGATTAACTAGTTTATGAAATTCTAAACGTTTTTTAAACAAAGTCTAAATTGAGGCATCCCTCTTGAAGGATCTGTTCAATGTTCAATGTTCAATTTCCTTGTACTTCTGTTTTGAAATCCGTTACCGCTTGTGCTGGATCATAGTCTACGGGCACCAGAAGAGCAAGCCTCTGAACTGCTCTGGAAACAGTGACATCTTTCGCTCCCTTGTACTCGCGAACATCTTCTTCCACTTGGTAGTTCTTGTACGTAACTGTGACTCGACGAACCTTGGCATCCTTGCTTGGAAACACTTCTTTTACAAGTCCCAATCGGTATTCTCCTCGGAACGTGTTCTTATCTGCTACAATTACAACATCATTTGGAAGCAGATTCCTGTTAGAAGTGTGCCACTTTCGACGTACAACTAAACTGGGCGCGTACAACTCGGTCCATCGCTTCCAAAAGTCATCTGTAACTGCTTGCACCAGATGATAACGGGTTACAATTTTTGAGTCTTGYGGTTGCCATCGCAACGGGTTGATGGCTCTTGCTCTTCCAAGCAGCAAACTGTTAGGCGTTAGGACGTTAATTGCAGAATCTGTACATGGTAGGACACCAATGGGACGTTCATTCAGTAAATTGGACACTTCGTAACATACTGTTAGAAACTCAGGAGCAGAAAGACGTTGGTTGGCGATTGCAAAGTGTATAGCACGCTTAGCTAACTTGACAAGCGATTCTACAGCTCCTTGATGCCACGGACTATCAGCTGGTCCAAAAGTCCATGTTAGACCGTTCTCGGCTCCTTTCTTATGCAGTTTCTGGCAATCTATCTTCTGCCAAGCTTCCTGAAGTTCCCTACTAGCGCCGACCAGCTGCGAGCCAGGGTCACTGTATACCTTCTCTGGGCATCCGCGAACACTTGCAAATCTGCTAAGAGCCATAAGAAATGAGCTCGTATCATATCCAAAAACTGCTTCTATGTGGACCCAAGAACTTGACCCATTCAGCGTAGAGGTTGTAGGGTAGTGGCTCATCCCATCCAAGGTTCTTGGACCAAGTTTCACGCAGGTATATCTTCCCAAGTATAGTGAAGGGGCATACGAGCCCGAGAGGATCATATATCTTCATTACTTGTCCCAAAACGATTCTTCTCGTGAGTACTTGAGGAAGGGCTTGTGGTAAGTCTGCCTCAACGAGGTTTGGTCCAACGTGAACTCCCTTGCGCTTTTTGCTGAAGTTCAACGAGACCTCGTATATTAAGGTATCGCTCTCATGGTTCCAACCTAGTGCTAAGACCCGTAAATTATCTTTCGTTCCCTTTAACAGCGTGGGCCTCTTGGGTGTATCTTCACCGTTAACACTGTCTTGGAGTATTTCTTCCTCTGCATGAGATCTTGGGTTACCACTAATCTCCCAACACTTAACTTTAAAGCCTCCTTTGGCTAGCATAGCCTCTACTTCTTGTGCGATACAGATAGCTTTGGCTTTGTTTGAACAAGAGTCTATCATGTCGTCGACGTAGCTAGAGTTTTTCAATAGCTTGGCTACTCTTGGACTATCCTTCTTGAACATATCTGCCGTCTTGTAGAGCGCTTCAGTACTTATTGCAGGGGCTGGCGTGTCACCCATATTAACGCGTGTCATCACATATACATCAGGATCACGGTTCTTCTGTAAATCACGCCAAAGAAACCGATGGCAATGTTGTTCCAACAGCTTCAAGTGAATAGAATTGAACATTTTCCGAATGTCGCCTACCAGAGCAACTTGGCCTTCCCTCCAACGTAGTACAATTCCGAGCAGATYGTTCATGTAAGCGTCTGGTCCTTTGGCCAGGCACGAGTTTAAAGATTTTCCTTGGCAAACTTGACTTGGATTGAAAACAATACGAACTGGTGTTGAGTTAGACCGAGGATTAACAACTGCTAAATGTGAGATGTAATAGACTGGACCATCCCACTCTTTTAGCTCCTGCTCGGACAACTTGCGTGCAACGTTGCGTTCTACCATATCGTCCATCTGCTTCTTGTATGTTTCAGCCCACTGAGGATCCTTGTTTAGGTCACGTTCGGTGTACTTTAGCGTGGCTAATGCAGTGCGGTAATTTGTTAGGTAAGTTCGTGGGATCAACAAGCCATGGATAGCTTGTCCTCCAGCATTGGTTCTGTTCATCATACGTGAGGTTTTCCCGTATCATCCGTAGCTCTTGCTCTTCGTTAAAAGAATAGCTGTGACCAACTGCAGGACACTTGTTGCATCGACAACCTCCACAGCGAGGGGTGACTTCAGTACCTAGCTCTTCTCCTTGAATAAAGGAATCAATTTTGTTTTCATATCGTCTACCACAAGACGATCGAGCAGCAAAGTTGCAATCTGTCTTCTCTATGACAGACTTCTCAACACTCTGAACAAATCTTGGATTGAATTCTGGATGCAGGTCCATGCAAACGTGGTTCGAGTCAACCTTGATCCTTGTATCATGAATTGTTTTTGCTAAGTTAGTGTCTTTACTTGGTGTCTGCATCTAGGTCTGGATGAGTCCCTTGAATACATATTCCAAAATCACCTCTCATTATGCTCAAATTGTCTCCACACTTCGCCTCTTCGTGTTTGGGATGTAGGCCATAGTAGTCGCAGCCAAGAAGTATGTCCACTCTGTTGGATTTTCTCTGTAGAGATTCTGCATCATGTTCGGGAAACAACTTTGACAGGACTTTAGTGTCCAACTTACTTACAGGTCCAGTTATGTGCTCCATACCATATGCAGTGACAACTACCTTCTTACCCGACTCGGTTACTAGGGTAAACTGATACTGCTGTGTTTCGTAGGTTTTCTCTACGTTTCCCATGGTAGTGACATCAAGCGTAAATCTACCCAATCTCTTTGCTCTGATCTTATCTGCTGCCTGATGCGTTATGTACGTTGTATTCGAATACGCATGTCCGCGAGCGTAACGGACGCACGTTTGAGCTCTGCAATTTTTCAAACTTAACATCAATTAATTTATATATTATGATGCTCTAAAGACATAAATGAGAATATGTCTAAAGATATTTCGAAACTGAGAAAAGAAAATGAAGAATTGAAGATACAAGTAGATGATKTTAGACTGGAACTGTTAAAGATTCAAAACAAAATGCCGCCTTCAACGCCGAGGGTTCTGACAAAGATTTGGATAAAAGCGTACAATATCTTTCTGAAGAATATGATGGCTTTAAAGCTTTTAAGACATCCATCGAGAAAGAAATCAAGAATATGATGACGAAACTTAAAGAAATAGAAGAGAATGTCCACAAAATCGACGAAGCCATCGAATCGGCACTGATTTATAGCTACAAAATACAACGTCAAAATTCTTGGTATTCAACAGAAACATTGATCAGAGTCTTCCCGCGAATCAGTCGACATATGTATGAAGTTATTCAAAGAGATAGGAAATGAAATAGCTGAGTATGATATAGATATCGCTCACAGAGTTCCAAGTCGAAATTCAAACTTCCCGCCACCAATAATTTGTAAATTTACTCGACGTATTGCCAAAGAAACCGTCATGAATCGTTAAAAAGAAATTCCAAATATCGATCTTGATGATATTGGCTTGGCTTCTACTGGAAAAATTGGAATCTACGACCATCTTACGCCGAACACACAGGCGTTATTTAATAAAGCAAGGGTTTTTCAAAAAGAGAACAATTATGCTTTCTGCTGGACCAAAAACTCTTCTGTGCTTTTGAAACAAACAGAAGATTCAAATGTCATAAGAGTGACAAGTCCTGATGTGCTTATCAAATTAGCGATAAAGAGTACCTCTCCTGAATTGTCTGGTGTCTTTGCGTCTGACTGGAATTCCGGTTTTGGTCGACCGGCAATGGAGCATCATGTACCCATGGCCACTTCTGGTAGAGGTAGACCAAGAACAAGATCAAATCAACAGAAATAGAAGAGTTGTTTAAAAAGATAAGTCTATCAATTTCAAATTCAATATAAAAAATTTACTTAGAGAACTTCCATATTATGGAGTTAATATCGTTATCCACCACGGTCAATTTAATAATCTTTTGCCAGATAGCAATTTTCCAACCAAAAAATATTTAGATAAATTGCATAGTCTACATGATTTAGATTTATTCAGTCTTAATTGTAATCAAAGTTTCGATTTTCTCTCTTCTAATACTATTCGTTMTAATTATTATTCTCCCAGYAGTTTTAAGACGCTTAAAGACACWAATAATGTAATCAAATCTGATGAATCGTTTTCTATTTTGCATAATAATCTTAGAAGCTTGAGCTTGAACTTAGAAAAACTTCAGTTTGATTTGCTAATTGAGTTACGTTTCGAGTTTGATATTATTGGAATAAAGGAAACCAAAATAACTAACTCAAACGTACCTCTTAGAATGAATATGAATATTCCAAATTACTCTTTTGAATATGTACCTACTCCTTTACCTTCTGGAGGTGTCGGTATGTATATTAACAAAAGGCTTAAGTATTCAGTTTTAGAGAAAACATCTACTGAGTCGTATCAAGCATTGTGGATTGAGATACATTCAAATGTTAGTAAGAATATTATTTGTGGAGTTATATACAGGCAGCATAACTGCCCTAATGCATTTTTATCTTATTTTGATAAAGCAATTGAAGATTATAGTGCTTCTGGAAAAATATTATACATCCTTGGGGATTTTAACATAGATCTGCTTAAATTTGAAACATGTACCTTCAGCCAGGATTTTCTTCTTTCTTTACAAAKCTGTTACTTATTTCCCACTATCGACAAACCCACTCGAGTGTATAATAACTCTGCAACACTAATTGATAATATCTTTACAAATAATCCAGAATATGGACTATGCAGTGCAAACATAGTATCAGATATAAGCGATCATTATTCTCAATTTTGTGTAAGCTCTTTAGGAAAAGGATATTACAAATCCTTCAAGAAAAAAGTTAGGTTTTGTGCTAAATCTGCTGAATATCGATTTGTTCAAGAACTTGCAAATATCAATTTGGGAGCCTTTTTTGTGGAATCACAAAGCGTTGACCAGATTTTCTCTTCTTTGTACAGGAAAATTAATAGCATCGTAAACAAAGTTGCACTACTTAAAGTTTTAAATAACCGTAATTTCAAAAAGCTATCTAAACCTTGGATCACTCAGGGAATTCGTGAATCAATAAGAATAAATCACTCAGGGAATTCGTGAATCAATAAGAATAAAAAACAGCCTGTTCTTGACCGGAAATAAAAAAAGATATCTCTACTATAGAAACAAAATAGTCACTCTTATTCGAATAAGTAAAAGATCATATTATGAATCTTATTTTGAAACAAATATGAAGAATACCAGAAAAACATGGTTAGCAATCAATTCCTTATTACATAACAAAAAAAGCAAATTAAAATCAATTTCAGCTTTAAAAGACAATTCTTTAGATGGTCAGAAGACTAATGATCCTACCAAATTACCTTTTATCCTTAATAATTTTTTTGCAACAGTTGGTGAAAACTACGCTGAAATGATTCCTAAACCAAGCATAGACTTTACGGAATATCTTAAGAGCATTGATCAACCTAATTCTTTGTTTTTTGCTCCTGTCACGATGTCAGAGATAGAATATGATATCTTATCCTTATCTAATAACAAGGCTTATGGCTTATATTCATGCCCTGTTAATTTGTTAAAAGCATCTAAACATGTCCTTAGCGAACACTTAGCTAAATTAATGAATTTATCAGTTCAAACTGGGAAATATCCAACTAAACTTAAGATTTCCAAAGTTCTTCCAATTTTCAAATCTGATGATGATACTGACCCGAGTAATTACAGACCTATTTCATTGCTTTCAATATTTAATAGAATTTTTGAAAAAACTATGTTCAATAGATTGATTAATTTTGTAGAAAAGCATCAGCTTCTTTCCAATGTTCAGTATGGCTTT